TGTGCTAATCACATGCTGTCTCCAAGAAAAAAAAAAAAAACTTCTCTAGCAATACACACCAGACTGAGCATGTGCAGCTTGCCCCCAAGGCTCTGTTCTATCAGCACATGGATTGGGGACAGTAGAAGAAGGGGAGGATCAGAGAAGACAGGATCATAAAAAGTCTTTTTACACAATGTGGATTAACCCCTTAGGTTCCACAGTGAGTATAACAAGCATGCTTTACTGCATCTACAGACTGATTGTACAGTTGTGGGTTTAGTAACACTTTAATGCTCACGGGTGCATAGGGCTGCGTACAGCAGAAAACCAGGCACCCAGGTGCTGTGTACAGCTGCCCATACAAATGAATGGCTGTGCGCAGGGCTGTTTTTCAGCGGTAACATGGGGGAACGCGGTTCCGGCACCTCCAGCACTGAATGTATGTAATGGAAAGGGGTGCTGGGGTGTGTTGGAAGGTCTATTGATGCTGTCTGCTGGGGGATCTATTGTTTATGGAGGGGATCTACTTTTTGCATGGGGGGTTTATTGCTGATGGAGAGGTCTGTTGTTGCTGATGGGTGATTTACTGTTGCTGGGGGGAAATTATTGCATGAAGGGATCTACTATTAAGGGAGGGGTTTATTGTTGCTGGCTGCTGGAGAGATCTGTTATTACTGCTGGGGGTCTACTGTTTCTAGGATTGTATTTTGTTGCCAGGGGGGCATTGTTGCTGAGGGAATCTACTGTTGCTTGGGGGGGAGGGTCTATTGCTGCTGCATGCGGGGAATCTGTTTTACTGCTTGTCTTGTTATCATTAACAAATTCTATATAAATTACTTAGCAACACAAAATATCACTCTGCTCTGTCTATTCTAAAAGGAGAAATACTGAGCAGGGGTGGAACCTAGGGACGGTGCTCGGAGGTGGGTAGGGGATGGAACCAAGGGACGGTGCTCGGAGGTGGGTAGGGGATGGAACCTAGGGACAGTGCTCGGAGGTGGGTAGGGGATGGAACCTAGGGACAGTGCTCGGAGGTGGGTAGGGGATGGAACCAAGGGACGGTGCTCGGAGGTGGGTAAGGGCGGAGAACCAAGGGATGGTGCTCGGAGGTGGGTAGGGGGTGGAACCAAGGGACGGTGCTCGGAGGTGGGTAGGTGGTGGAACCAAGGGATGGTGCTCGGAGGTGGGTAGGGGGTGGAACCAAGGGACAGTGCTCGGAGGTGGGTAGGGGGTGGAACCAAGGGACGGTGCTCAGAGGTGGGTAGGGGGTGGAACCTAGGGACAGTGCTCAGAGGTGGGTAGGGCGTGGAACCAAGGGACGGTGCTCAGAGGTGGGTAGGGGGTGGAACCAAGGGATGGTGCTCAGAGGTGGGTAGGGGGTGGAACCAAGGGACAGTGCTTGGAGGTGGGTAGGGGGTTGGACCAAGGGATGGTGCTCAAAAAAAAAAATGCGTATGAAAAACCACTGGGTAAATATCATGTACATTAAAAATTTGCAGCAACCACCATTTTATTCTCTTGGGCCTCTGCTTACAAAATATTATGTTTGGGGTTTCTAATTAGTTTTCTAACAAACAAAAAAAAAAAGATTTTTTTTACAAGTCGGAGAAGGATGTCGCTGGAAGTGGTGCGAGTATATCAGGTATGGACATTCATTTCTATAGGCAGCTGTATGCAGCTCGCCGGCCTCCTGGATGCAAAATAACAATGTATGCACGTTCCTGTGTGCACAAAGCCTTGCGGGATGATTTACTAAAGGCAAATAGACGGTGCACTTTGCAAGTGCAGTTGCTCCAGAGCTTAGTAAATGAGGTAAAGCATGACTTTGCAAAGAATACCCAATCACATGCAAGGAAAATAAAAAACAGCATTTTTGCTTGCACGTGGTTGGATGATAGAAATCAGCAGAGCTTCTGCTCATTTACTAAGCTCTGGATCAACTGCACTTGCAAAGTGCACCGTCTATTTGCCTTTAGTAAATCAATCCCTCCATATGACGCCTATCTAAGGCTAGGTTCACACCTATGCAGTTTGTGTTTGATCCGTTTCTGCAGTGCGTTTTGCGTTTATTTTGCACATAAGTTTTTGCCGTGTTTTGTGTTTTTTGTTTTTCTTGTTGCTAGGCAGATTTAAAACTATGTGCTATTCTGCAGCGTTTCCTTTGAAGTCTATAGAACTAAAAAAACGCTACTTTTTGCGTTAAAAAAAATCCCCGAACCTTTCCAAAAAACGCACTGGGTAAAAACGCACAGATGTGAACGTGTCCCATAGGAAATCATGTTAAATGGATTGTAGTGCATTTCTGCAAAATGCGGCGAATAAACGCTTAAATGTGAACCTGGGGTAAATCCAAATCTTTTTATTGTGATCATTAATAATATTTATGGATAGCGTGTGGAATGGTTAGGGCCAGGGGAGGACTGACAACTCCTGGGGCCCCGGGCCATTGGGGATCATGGGGCCCCTGTGTCCTTGACCACACTCAAATCACACCCAAAAAAGCCTATAAAAGGTACCAGGGGCATTTCGTGTGGCCCCCTACTGACCCCAGGCCCTTGGGCAGTGCCCGAGTGATGGAATGGTCAGTCCGCCCCTGGTTAGGGCTCATTTACACCATAAAGCTTGCATTACCATGCACATAATGCATGTGCAATGCCATGTGGTGTGGCCAGGGGTGGACTGACAACTCATGGGGCCCCCGGGCAATAGGAGATCATGGGGCCCCTGTGTCCTTGCCCAAACTCAAAAAAAGCCTATGAAAAAGTTACCAGGGGCATCTCATGGGGCCCCCTACTGACCCCGGGTCCTCGGGCAGTGCCTGAGTTTCCAAATGGTCAGTCCGCCCCTGGGTGTGGCACAGTGTTGCACTCCATTCATTCTGGTTCTTTTTCCTTTTATTTTTTTTCATCTATGTTAATCTTTTTCCTGTTACAGCGCGCCAGAACACACTACACATAAATAGAACGTCCCTTTTTTTCCCCAGAGTGCAGCGCCCATTACATCCAGTAGATGGAGCTGATTATCATAGTAAATGAGCATTTATATTCAATGATCAGCGCCATCTATTGGCCATAATACAATTTGTTCCCCATGTACTCCATTCTGCATGAATGAAAAATATTTGATCTGGAGAGAAAATACCCTAATAACATTTGTCCCATTTGCCCCATTTGCACAGAACATGACATTTTTAGAAGACGAATAGCTGTGCATTTGTTTTGTTTTTTTTATTAATAAATACACCCCTTAAACAAGAATTCCACCTAAAGCTGTAAGTCTGATTTTAGATGGAGTACCCAGAATACATGTGAGATAACTAAAGTTCCTTATGCAGTGTAAGATCTGGATGGCTCCCAGTCATGTCTACTACAGGCTTTTAGCACACTGCTAAAGCACAGAAACACAGGGCCAGCAGCAGAGTGGGGGTGCAGGAGTCCTCAGCCCCCCTCTCTTCTGTAAGGTTGGACATGCAGCAGAGTGGCGGGTGCAGGAGTCCTCAGCCCCCCTCTCTTCTGTAAGGTTGGACATGCAGCAGGGGGGCGGGTGCAGGAGTCCTCAGCCCCCCTCTCTTCTGTAAGGTTGGACATGCAGCAGAGTGGCGGGTGCAGGAGTCCTCAGCCCCCCTCTCTTCTGTAAGGTTGGACATGCAGCAGAGTGGCGGGTGCAGGAGTCCTCAGCCCCCCTCTCTTCTGTAAGGTTGTACATGCAGCAGAGTGGCGGGTGCAGGAGTCCTCAGCCCCCCTCTCTTCTGTAAGGTTGGACATGCAGCAGGGTGGCGGGTGCAGGAGTCCTCAGCACCCCTCTCTTCTGTACGGTTAAACATGCAGCAGAGTGGCGGGTGCAGGAGTCCTCAGCCCCCCTCTCTTCTGTAAGGTTGGACATGCAGCAGAGTGGCGGGTGCAGGAGTCCTCAGCCCCCCTCTCTTCTGTAAGGTTGGACATGCAGCAGAGTGGGGGTGCAGGAGTCCTCAGCCCCCCTCTATTCTGTAAGGTTGGACATGCAGCAGAGTGGCGGGTGCAGGAGTCCTCAGCCCCCCTCTCTTCTGTAAGGTTGGACATGCAGCAGGGTGGCGGGTGCAGGAGTCCTCAGCACCCCTCTCTTCTGTAAGGTTGGACATGCAGCAGAGTGGCGGGTGCAGGAGTCCTCAGCCCCCCTCTCTTCTGTAAGGTTGGACATGCAGCAGAGTGGGGGTGCAGGAGTCCTCAGCCCCCCTCTATTCTGTAAGGTTGGACATGCAGCAGAGTGGCGGGTGCAGGAGTCCTCAGCCCCCCTCTCTTCTGTAAGGTTGGACATGCAGCAGGGTGGCGGGTGCAGGAGTCCTCAGCACCCCTCTCTTCTGTAAGGTTGGACATGCAGCAGAGTGGCGGGTGCAGGAGTCCTCAGCCCCCCTCTCTTCTGTAAGGTTGGACATGCAGCAGAGTGGGGGTGCAGGAGTCCTCAGCCCCCCTCTCTTCTGTAAGGTTGGACATGCAGCAGAGTGGGGGTGCAGGAGTCCTCAGCCCCCCTCTATTCTGTAAGGTTGGATATGCAGCAGGGAGCCCCATTGCAGATTACAAAAATGCCGAATACCAATATAGGTCCATTTTCAACTGACATTTCTATTTTGGATGGAGTAATGCGGTTACACATGGAGGTTTTTTTTTTTTTTTCATTCTGCCATGTGATGGAGGAAAAACGGTCTGAACGCCTTGGAACAACTCTGTGAAAGTGATCGAAATCAGCTTTATCCACAAAAATATTTTGTCTTTGTCTATGGATACGGTTCTGTATATATGTGCTGTCCTGGAGATAACCTATAAAAAGTTATTGATCGCCCCCTTATTGATCAACTTTGATCTGCGTCCCGCCAAGGCTGAAGAGGTCAAGTGACTGCTCAGGTATGATCCGCGCCACGGCGGATCACGCGACATCCAGCAAAAGCTTTCCTCCTTTTTTATAAACGTAGAGGGGGCGGAGCGGGAGTCCATATTGGCGGTCCACTTAGACGCGCGCCGCGCTCGCATTTTCCGGAGTCCGTCTCACAAGCACATGCTGAGCTCTTTTCTCACCGTGCATTTATTGCAGTTCACCACGCAGCACCAGTGGAAGCGGCACAGGCAGCTCTCCTCCACCACCACAGTCTCCTCCCGGTACCCCCTGCCGCAGCACAGGAGGTCGCATCCTCCCACGTCCATCGCCGTGCTGTTACACACGCGGCCCCGAGTCCCTGGCGAGCCGGTTTTTCGGTTGGCCTGACAGAAGTCGGGAGAGTCGGCGGAGTAGATGAGGTCCTGTTTGTCGGGGGGTTTGATGTTGTGCCCGACGGGGATGATGGTCTTGCCGTCATTCCCACCCATGACCTTGAAGGCTCCGTTGAAGCGCTCTAGGAGTCGGTCTCCGACTTCCCGGAAGTGGGGCATCTTCTTCCAGCAGGTGCGCAGGGTACAGGAGCCGGACAGGCCGTGGCATTTGCACTCCGTCCTCATGTAATTTTTCACTGCCTGCGGTCAAGAAAACAGGAAAGTGTAAGAGATGACTTACAGTGGTTTGTAAACCCTTCCATTTACCCAGTGAAGTGACCGGCCACAGAGAGGAAACAACTCCTCCTACCCAGGGGCGGACTGACAACTCATGGGGCCCCCGGGCAATAGGGGATCATGGGGCCCCTGTGTCCTTGCCCAAACTCAAAAAAGCCTATGAAAAAGGTACCAGGGGCATCTCATGGGGTCCCCTACTGACCCCGGGCCCTCAGGCAGCTCCCGAGTTTCCAAATGGTCAGTCCGACCTGCTCCTACCTAAGTTGTACCTGTTTAACTGCAGCTCTCTCTCCTCTACATCCATTTAAAGTGCAGAATTTACACAGCTTTTCTCATCTTCCAGAAGCAGTGGGCGGTGATCTGATGTCACACTCTGCAAAGCTCAGTGAGTAGAGCTCTGAGAGCTGATTGGAGGGAAGGGACACACCCCCTTCACACAGGGACAGAGCTCAGGCTGTCAATCAGCTGGCACTCCCTCCCCTGTCACCTTTTTTAGTCTTGGTGTCAGAAAAACTTGTCAGAAGTGACTCATGCTGAGAGCAGAAGAATGAGACACAGAGAAATTACGCTTAGTGCGAAAACATGGTGCTTTCTATAGAGGGATAGGCTTTGTTCATATTTCATGTCTGAGGTTTACAACCACTTTAAAGTAAATGTAAACCCTTTTGTTTTCTAAACCACAGCATATCATCCTCACTATCCCCTCCCTCTTAGATTGTAAGCTCCAAGGAGCAGGGCCCTCGAACCCCTCGCGTTCTGTATTGTTACTGTATTGTCTCATGTACTGTCTCCCTCTATAATGTACAGCGCTGAGTAAACTTTTTGGCGCTATATAAATACTGTATAATAATAATAATTATAATATAAACAGGTATCCCTTTTTTATACACAAAATTACATATTTTCACCTTTTTATATGCATTGCATTTCAGTGCTGCGGATCTCCTGCCACCTCTTTATAGCTACTTCCTGTCTACATGCACTCCAGCGATGTCTCCCGGAGGGTTCCCTGATGGTGACAACAGTGGGCACACATTATGGCCATTAGATGGAGCTGATGATCACTGCAAATAAGTATTGACTTCAAAGAATCATCAGCACCATCTAGTGGCTATAACTTGGTATTTTCTTGATTCTGCAAAATTGAGAAACATTTGACCTTGAGGGAAAATAGCCTGATAACATCTGTTTTTGCTCCTATTCACACAGCACAATTGCACATATATTTCCACAGGGCAGTTTTTTTTTTTTATTGAATACATCCCTTTAACAAGAGCTCCACCTAAAGCTGTAAGCCTGATTTTAGACGAAGTACAAATGGCAATCCATTTTTTGACCATACTTCTCTTGTGGGTTACAGGATTACATTTACTTTTTAATCTCTTGTGACCCAGAGTCAGCTGATAGTGGGCTATTGTCCACTACTAGCTGACTGGGCAGAGCCACACCACGCTCGGGAAGTATCCCGACAATAATGTCGGGTTCCACTGGCTGCCTGATTGACAGGTGACTCCGCCTCTCAGTGTTCAGCTGAGAGCCAGAGCCAGCCTGGCGCTCCAGTGAGCACTGGAGGAGCAGAACGGAGAGCGGTGACTAAGGCTACTTTCACATTGATCCGCCACAAAAACACAGCAAGGTTTTACCGCTCTTTCTGGGCTTTTTTGTAAAGGTCACGTGACTTGAAAAAATGCACCAAAACTGCTTCTCCGAGGCATTTCAGGCATTTTTCAGGCGTTTTTCCATTGATTTCAATGAGATGAGGAGTTTTGGGGCTTTTTTTTTAACTCCCCAAACATGCCCCAAAGATGCTGCAGGCAGGAGTTTTTACACCGCACCGCAAACGCAACGCCTCAGTGTGAAAACATACATAGATATACAATATAAATCATGAAGTGCAGCGCTCAAATAAATATAGTCACAATAAAAATAATAAAATCCAAATGCGAATAAATCTATGCATATATAGTGAGATGAATCCAGAAGTGAGCAGATATCAATATGCTGATGTTTTGAAGAAATGATAGGAATGTGCACTTACCAGATGCGCATAGGAATGCGCACTTACCAGATGCGCATTAATATATCCATCCATATAATATAGGGCACTTAGGTTATGAGGTACGGTAGGTATATGTAGGACATCCGTCTAGGAATGGGCAGCTCTGCGGTCAATGGATGACGTCTGCTTACTCCAGAGGTCCCCTTTAGGATGGATAGGGTCAGCCACCTGCTTACAGGTTCCCTCAACGCATTGTGACGTCACGCCGCTGGAGCCACGTGCTGGTCCGGCGGCCATCTTTACTCATGGTCAGTGTACCTGTTTTTACTACTGTCATTTCTTGGATTAAATAAATTCACTTTAAAAGTACTACACTATGGGCACCTTTCTTATGGCTTCTTTATGAAGCCATTAACTTTTCAAAGCCAGTGGAGATCAGGGGCGGACTGACCATTCGAGCACTCGGGCACTGCCCGAGGGCCCGGGGTCAGTAGGGGGCCCCATGAAATGCCCCTGGTACCTTTTTATAGGCTTTTTTTTTAGTCTGGACACAGGGGCCCCATGATCCCCTATTGCCCGGGGGCCCCATGAGTTGTCAGTCCGCCCCTGCTGGAGATCACAAGTTTGAACCATTATCCAGAGGAAGGGAATCCCTGTAAGCGTTGCCCTCCTCCACCTCCCATGATACCACTGCAGCCCAGGGCAGCCGCCCCTCCTGCCCATTCCTTGACTCCAAAGCCTACATGGCAAAATTTCACAGAAATCTTTCAATTTTAACCTGGAGTTTTGGGGAAGCAAAAACCTCTAATTTTGAGAGGCCTAACCCTGCATACGATAAAAGTACAGTACACCCTGGCAGTGAAGGATGGGATCCATTATTACGGCGTCCATTCCTTCCTTCATTCTTTGAGAAGCAGAGTTGTGCCGTGTCCCCTGGAAAGTCGAGTTCCTGCACTTTTTATATTCTCAGTCGAACAAGTTTGAACAGTGCTAAACCTACAATTATATTGACATACAAATTTTAGAACTGGAAGAGAGAGACAGCCTGCAGGGGGGTACGGCGGCCGTGCCAAGTGAGCGTCTTCCAAAATGTTTCTTACAGTAAAAAGAAAACACGCAGATCTCTTTAGGGCAGAATTTGCCTGAATGATAAACTATCAGGACATTCGGTGGAATACTGAAAGCTACAGCAAAGGTTCCATGGAGAAGATATATATGTCAAGTCATTATCATTGAGCTGTCTGGCATTCAGGCTCAGCCCGGTCACTACCTGCAGACAACCTGCCGTTTTTCTTTTTTTAACCAGTTCCCATCTGGGCCAATTCTGACCTTTCTCAGCATTTGTTTGCCAAAAAATGACTTAGTATCAAACATTACATATTTTTTTAAGCAAAGCCCTGGACAATAAAATAGTTGTTGTTGCTGCAATTTTTTATTATTATATATTATTATTATTATTATACAGGATTTATATATTTATTATTATTATACAGGATTTATTATTATTATTATTAGTATTATACAGGATTTATATATTTATTATTATTATACAGGATTTATATTATTATTATTATACAGGATTAAATTATTATTATACAGGATTTATATTATTATTATATAGGATTTATATATTTATTATTATTATACAGGATTTATTATTATTATTATACAGGATTTATATTATATTATTATACAGGATTTATTATTATTATTATTATACAGGATTTATATATTATTATTATTATACAGGATTTATATTATTATTATTATTATTATTATTATACAGGATTTATATATATTATTATTATTATACCGGATTTATATATTATTATTATTATTATACAGGATTTATGGCGCCAACAGTTTGCTCAGCGCTTTACAATATAACGGGAGACAATACAGCAACAATACAGTTCAATACAAGAGGGATTAGGAGGGCCTGATCCTGGGAGCTTACAATCTAAGAGGGAGGGGCTGGTAGTACAAAAGGTAGTAACTGTGGGGGATGGACTAGTAGGAGGAGTAGAAGATTCCATTATTAGCTGTGGGCAGGATAGGCTTCCCTGAAGAGTTTTCAGAGATTGCCTAAAAGTGAGCAGAGTAGGCAATAGTCTGATAAATTGGGGTAGAGAGTTCCAGAGGATGGGGGAGGCTGTGGAGAAGTGCTGGAGATTAGCATGGGAGGAGGAGACAAGGAAGCTAGACAGCAGGAGGTCGTGGGAGGAGCGGAGAGGACGGTTTGGGTGATATTTGGAGACAAGATCGGTGATGTAATTTGGGGCAGAGTTATAAATGGCTTTATATGTGATTGTTAATGTTTTGAATTTTATCTGTTTTATGTCACTCGGTCTTTGCGCAGTAGTTTTTCAAACGCATTTATTTTGGAAAAAATACACTCTACTTTTAATGCACAAAAACACAATATAACACTCAATGGTTTCGCAAAATATAAAAGCCAAGTAAATAGATATCTTACGTGTCATGGTTTTGATTGCACACATCTGTGGAACAGCGCCAAACTACGGTACTTAAAAATCTCAATAGGTGATGTTTTAAAACCTTTTACAGTTTACCAGTTTAGAGTCACACAGGAGGTTTGGCGCTAGAATTACCGCTCTCACTCTGACATTTGCGACGATATCTCGCATGTGTGATGCGATCACCGTTTACATAGGCATACAGGCAGGGGCGTCCCTAGGGTTGGTGTCATCCGGTGCGATAACACACTTGGTGACACCCCCTCCGATGATCCCACAGAATGGATCGGATCTGCGGATTGAGCATAATGGATCGGAGTCCGATACATTATGCTCCCCAATCT